ACAGACAAAACAAATCCTGACTTCACACATAAAATAATGAGCTTTCACTGGACTTTCAGGGTGAAATCACCACTCTGAGGTGGAACCCTGGGGTTATGTTCCCTAGTTCCCAAAATACGTTACTTCAGTGCTTGAGGAAGAAAGGTGTGTCAAAAAGGAAATCACATAGGAGAGGTGCAGGACAAAACAAACATGTCAAAAATACTCCATGTCAGTGGAGAAATCCATACCATAAAAATTGAACTGTGTGCAGTTCTAGATCCCTTGTCTCCAAAAGGCCATACTAAAACCCAAGAAAAGTTCACAGGACAAAAATTATTGTAAGCATGGAGTAGCTTCCATAGGAGCAGAGACTGCATGGCTGCTTAGTTGTAGTAAGCAACTGATTTACATGAAAGGATAGATATGGGAAGCATACAAATGGCTGAGTACCACAAGGATGGATAAAGTCTTTACTGTTCCTTGTATAGAAATATAAGATCCAAAGATCATCAAATGAAGTCAGAAGGAGGCAGTTTAAACCAACAACAACAAAAAAAAAAAGGTGCCTCTTTGTACAACAGGTATCAAACATGGAACTCTGAGAAGAGGTTGAATATATTTAAGGGAAGATGAGAAATATCTGGGAAAGAAATCCACTGAGAGTTATTATACAGAAAAAACACTGAGGCTCAGGAAATTGCCTGAACTCAAAGTAGAGGATAAATACCATATGGACTTCTCTTGTTCTACTCTTTCCTACATACCCACTTACAGGAACCATTGCAGACAGGATGACAAGACTGAACCTTGACTCAAGTCACTGGAGTTGTAGAGCACTAAATTCATATCCAGTTTAGTTCTATGTATTTGTTTCTATACAATATCAGTATGAAATCACTAAATGATTCATGTCCTGCTTTCACAAGTGAATGGTTTGTCCACGTATTACTACAATTCTTTTTTATGCAAAAATCTGAAAATCAGAAATCTGACTTATTATTAATAGTATCAGTAGAGATGTGAACAGAGATCTGAAGGTAAAAAAATACAAAGTGCTATTTTCTGGGAGCTGGAGAGGGTGTCCTAGGTTTTGAAGTGCAGGAACATTCTGGAAGACAGATAAAACCAAGTTTTTTGAATCAGTCATTTCTAGAGTTAATTAAAAACATCACTGTTCTAAGCAGGTAGGAATATTTGTGCAGAAGCTGAAAATGCATTTAAATTTCTCTAATATAAGGCTAACTTTTGCTAAGCGGAATAAAGTAACTCCAGATGGTGCAAACATCTGACTTCATTGATTCTGCCTTCCTTGCAAATACAACATCGCCTACATGAGCAAGCTTTTTCGTGTGACAGGAACAGATTAACATACTGGAGCACTGAAGTCCCTATCTGTACACAACATGTGGTTCGGTGGTTTTACTTTGAGCTAAATGTTGTTTAGACTTCATAGCAGAATGCACCCCTGTATATGGTCTGAAGCCATCCAAGTGACCAACTTCTCATTTGGATCCCTGTTCCTCCATTTGGGTGCTTGGCATGCAGCTGGAACATGCTTCTGGGTTTCATTTCCTCTGAAAATGATCTAGAGATGAACCAGTGGGCTTCAAGGGGTGACTGTCCACTGAAAGAAAGGAAAGTGTTAATAGTTTCTCAGCTTGTTCCCTTGAGCTTTTTTTTTTTTGCAAAAGTTCTGCAAGAGAAAGGAAAGGAGGTTTATATGCTCATCAGCTGGGTGTAAGAGGTCAAATCACCAGCTGACAGGCACTGCCACTAAGAGAGAAGTTAATGGAGTTTTAATGAGTGAGCTGGGTCAATAATCACACACCTACCTGGCTTCTGAACTGCCTTTATGATAGGAATGCAATTTTAAGCCACCTCATTCCGAAAGACCTGAAAATTTGTACATTCTCACTGTGGATAATACTAGTTGTCAAATTTGTAATGAATTAAAAGTAATAGGATTTCACAGATTCAGAACATTTGCATTTTTCCCATTCAAATGCCCAATTATCTATCATCTGTGCTGAAAAAAATCAACTGCCATTGAACCCCTTTTGTTAGAAACAGTCAGACCTGCCTTCATTAGTATTAGCAAAGTGCTAAGGCTTCCCAGAAAAGGATGGTGGCAATAGAAGTGCTTAGTAAGATGAGAGATGACTAATACACCTATCTTTTCCTTAAACTCAGATCAGTGCACAATGATGATCATTTCTAAATGCAGGGGCACAGATGTTTTGCTTATATAGATTATACTTAGGGAGGTGACTATTGCTCTTACACAAACTCTGGATTCAGCTGTTCATGTACACAAACCTGCAAAATAGCTGCTAGGATTAAGAGAATTAACTACAAACAAATGCCAACTGAAATAAGAAGGATGTTTGCTATATAAAGACTTTAATAGCAAACTGACTTTTCCCTAGTAGAACATTTCTACTACAGGAATTTAATCCATGGACACACATAATTAGCTCTTTCACCTTAAAGTTGCTGAAAAAGTGATTTGTTTAAGAAGATTAGTCCTTTTAGTGTTCAATGGAAGCACTGACAAATGAGCCTAAAATTATTATAGGGGAACTCTTTTAACACCACCTTCTGATCTTTTATTTTAAAATAGCATGCCTTTCAGTCAAAAACCTTTTAATCTGACCTTTTGTGGTTTCCCTCATCAAGGCTCAACTTCTAATTCTTTCTGTATTCAAATCTTGTATGTGATGAGATAGTTGTCAAGGCTGTTTTAAGCAACACTGAAGAAGACCACAATAGTCTTTTTAAATAGAACTTCAGTGCTAATTTATTTCTTCTGGTCATTACAGCTGCATGCAGCTTCCTGTACGCACTGGAACATTTTACCATGTCAGTGGCCACAGACCAAATCTTTTTGAGCTGTGCTATACCAAAACAACTTGATTTTAAAATAATTTTCCAGAAGAGGGGCATTTTTAAGGGCAGGTGAAAGACAAAAGAGATGATACTGACAAATGAAGACAGGAACAAAGCTGTCCCAGATGGGTCATGGCAGGGAAATGAATTTTTGTATCAGTTTGGCTCTATGCCACAAACCTGAGGTGTATAGTAAGCACTGTAATACAGCAAGCATTGTAAGTCACTTGCAGTGGCTTTATAGCTATTGTTTGCATGACAGTCTATTTTCCCTTACAAAAGCTAAGGGTCAAATTTTTAATTACTGATACAGACTTACGGAGTAATCTTCTCCAGTGATGCAGTGAATTATCTGGATCCTTCACTGCTATGGTTTTATACAAGCACTGAAATCATGTGAAGTATACTTCTATAATTCTGTTTTTCCTGTTCCTATAATTCTACATCTATTTATCAGTGTTTGGAGATTTACCTTATTCAGCTGTTAGCAACAACTGAAAGACTGATGCCATAAATAGAATTCAATGTACATTACTGATTCTTACTCGCCAAAAATGAGTAGACTTTGCGTAGTCATACTGCCACCTACAGATTGAATAAACACTTGCAATGTCCTGCGCAGGGACACAGGGTGATCCGGTTGGAACAGACCTCTGGTCTGTAGCGCAACTGCCTCCACGAGTTAGGGTTACCTCTAAACTCTGAGCAGGTTGCTCAGAGCTTTATCCCATTTGGTCTCAGAAACCTCCTCACACGGGACTGCAGAGTCTCTGGACAGCCTGTTCCACAGCCTGACTGTCCTCATGGGGGGAAAGTTTAAAAGTTTTCATTTAAATTTATGCTCACTGTCTCTTGTTCTCCTGCTGTGCACCGCTCTGAACAGCCTGGTTCCTCCTATTTGCTAACCTCTCCATAAATACTGGGAAGCTGCTGTTGGTTCCACCCCTAAGGTGTGTCTTCTCCAGGTTGAAGAAGCCCAGTTCCTTCAGTGTCTCCTCAAACGGCAGGGGCTCCAGTCCTCAAATAGCTTGGAAACCCTTGGGTGAACTTGCTCTAATTTTTTCATGTCTTTCTTTGTGCTGGGGATCACAAACGGACATAGAAGTTGAATGTGGTCCAAAAAGCACTGAAATATGAGACATAATCCCTTGCCTCCCTCTTCTGTCTGTGTCCCAGGAGGCTGCTGGTCACCCTTGCTGCCATGCATACAGCTGGCCCATGTTCAGCTGCCAACCAGTCTCCCGGAGCCATGCCCAAAGAGCTGCTCCCCAGTCTGGCTGCTGTAGGGGTGCTTCCTTCCTGGGGGCAGCACTTTGAATTCATCCTTGCTGAATATCATAAGGTTCCTGTTGGCCTGCTCCTCCAGCACATATAGGTTGGCCTGAACAGCAGCCTGATCCTTCAGAATTCCATCTGTTCGCTTATATTAGATTCATCTGCACGTTCTATGAGGGGAAATTCCATCATTTCGTCCAGGTCACTGACAAAGACATTGACAGGATGGGGCCCAGGAGACCCCCAAGTGGTACTTACTCTGGGTAAGGTATGACCCATTAACTGCTGTTCCCCGAGCTGCATCATCCAATCCCCTTTTTTACCCATTTGTCTGTTCACCCATCCAGACATTAATGTCATAACTTGGTTTCAGGAATATTGTGGGACAGTGTCAAACACCTCATTAAAGTAAATGGCATTTTCTGCTCTCCCCTTTTCACAGATCCACTCATTTTATCACAATGATTTTTATTTTTTTTTAATTAAGAAAAAAAGACAAAACCTTTTTTTCCAGGGATGGTTCCATTAATGTATTTTTGCGATCATAATACCTCACAGCAAGAGTCCTGTAAACAGTAAAACAGGGGTCTGGTTTTATTTGAATGGGTTTGCAGCTATGTTAATTACTCACCTCATCTTGATCAGCTTACTTGAATAGGTTCTAACTCACAGCTACGCACAACTTAATTCTGCAATCCTTGGCATTAACTTAGTTGGGGGATTCATCAAACGTGTCACTGTTGATTCAGGACTTTTAACACTTAGTACCTGCACACAACAAAACCATAATGTATTTAAGGCACCTCAGTACAGCAACTTTTCAGTTAGATACCTGTAGGCTGCAACTTGTAACATTGCTTGAACCTGTTATTCTCTCTTAGTTTCCTGGCATTATACATAACATATCACCATTGTATTATATTCCTACAGTCTTTCATTAACTGCAATCTTAAAAGTCACATTTCATTATTTCTCTTAAACAAACTGTTGCGTAACATGAAGGATCAAGGTCAAATGATATATGAAGAGAGACTTTTGATTCATTCAGATGGTTGTCTTCAATTTTGATTCCTTTTTCATTGACTTCAAAATAATATGACAAATTCTGAACTTTTTTCAAAATGGGTCTGTAGCATCCAGGTATATTCAGCTGTAGTGGAGACACTCTGAATTTGCACATCTGCAGCTCATCCTTAGAAAGCCTTTCGTGGTACCATTGCCCAACTTTATTACTGGGATACTTGATACTATGTCCCACCACTGGAAGAACCACCTTCAAAGAAAAAAAGATGACAAATATGTTTGAAATAAAGCCCACCAAATCCCCTTTAAATAAATGTGGTTATAATTTAAAATGTGCCTATATCTTGTGTTTGGGGACATAACATAGTAAAACAGCAGCTTCTCTTGTGAAATGAAGCTGTGTAAAGCAGGTATCTTGGATGTAATTAAAGCAGGAAAAATATTCAGTGAACCAGAATTCCTAAAACAAACTAGAAAGATACTAACATGAATTTCCTTACATGTTGGGAAAGACACCTCAATAAAGACTTTAAGTTGCCTCTGTAAAAATTCACAACTATGCACCCTGCACCTTCAAAAACTAGAATGTCAGCTGCTCTTGAGTGTTTTACCCAGTAGAATTAAAAAGTTTTCTAAGTATCTACATTCAGCTTCAAGATAAATTGAAGTGCCACACTGCAAATGACACTGTACGTATTTCCACTGCAAAGTAAAAACTCTTTCCTCTAGTTTGTTATGAGAGCGGAGATTAGTTCACGTGTATTTTCTTTAATGTGCTTTCTGGCAAGGAAGACTGCACCAGTTAAATTAATCCCATTATTTTTAAAACAAAACATTTAAAAAAAGAGATCAACAACTCAGAATTTTTCATACAGACTTACTTGGTTTATAGAGTATTTGTTGGCCGATTCTTCTGCAGCAGTGACTACATGAACCTTGCAAGACATTTAAGAAGAAAAAGAAAGCTTTTTTAAAAATAAACCATCCACTTTATTTTAGGAATTATGCACTGCACTCCCAAACCTCCCTAAGGTTATTTGACAAGGACAATAATCTATTTCAGGTATGAAAAACAGTAGAGATGCTTAATATAAAGTAATTTGTTTACTGGTAAATGGTATTGCATTAAATATTTCCTGATGCCACTACTTAGCAAACTATCATTCCAAGCTCATATTCTTTGAATTTGAAGTTAATTGTGTCAATTCAATCTTGTGCTACAACAGCAAAAGCAAAAATAACCAAGAAAAAATATTTTATATTAAATAGGAATAGAGCTATTATTAAACTCAGTAACTCAATACTGAATTTGCTACCTCTGCTTTTCATTTTATTTGATCTACTTGTTTTACTAATATTTACTCTCAAAATACTGATGAAGAAAAACTGCAGTGGAAACAGAAGCCTCTCTACGGGGACTGGAGGTTATTCAGTAACCTTTCAAATGCTCTTGCTTTCAAACTTGTAAGATGTTCACCCAAAAGAAATCAGACACGTTCTGCCTATGTTCACACCCAGGAAATCTGCAGTAAAACACTGCAAAATACTATGCTTTGTCTGATGATCAGGAGAAAGAATCATAGAATTATTTAGGTTTGAAAACACCCTTAAGATCATCAAGTCCAGCTGTAAACCTAACACTGCCAAGTCCACCACTAAACCATGTCCCTAAGCACCACATGCCTCCAGGGATGTGATTCAACCACTTCCCTGGGCAGACTGTTATCAATGCTTGAACAACCCTTTCAGTGAAGGAATTTTTCCTAATATCCACTCTTAACCTCCCCTGGCACACCTTGAGACTGTTTCTTCTTGTCCCATCACTTGTTACATGGCAGAAGAGACTCAAATGTTTCCACAAAAAATAAAAGGTCTGCTAATCCTTTAAGGAGAGGCGGCTTCAGAATGGACTTCAGCATGCCAAGACCTGGGAAGAGACACTCTACCGCTGGCTTCTGCTCACTGGCTCACCCATGGCACCATGCACAGCACCCAGGGTGCGCTGTGAGCAAGCAGAAGCACTCCTTTGCCCTTTACTACTTTTCTTAAGAAGACTGCTGCTAACAGTTTAGACCCACCATCCAATTGCCTGAGTATCTGAAATTGTGCTAAACATGCTTCAGCAGCATACCTGCAATGAGATTGCTAGTTCAGCCTGACCATGGGCTTTCCTGATGCACCTTTCACCATTCATTATATGTAACAGGAAGATCTGACCCAGAGAGAAAGACTCAAGACTGAACTGACTGGTAATATAGGCCCACCCAGAGTCCACCCTTAAGTTTTTTCCTAGTCAGATCCGAAGATGAGTGTGATATGTCATGCAGACTAAATTCTTACAGGTATCAGTTCTGACATTCATAGTTTATATGCCCATTCATGGTAAATAAGAAAAAGCTGCATCACTTTTTTCATCTTTGGAACTAGTATTAAATAGTTTAATGAATGAACCAAAATAAAAACATTACAGTGTGTCTAAGTATGCATTCAACTGCATTAAGCTTTTGGGTTTTTTTTTTAAAGAACTATTTTGTGAAGACTCACCTTGTCATTCAGGGAAATGCTTTCATCTTCTGAGAAAACAAGATCACCCTCAACAACTTTTGAACCATAAATCTTCAGCCTATATGATGCTGCTTCATTCCAAATTTTACTGCAATAAGCATGGACATAGAATATGCGCATGGAATGAGGAATGTTGAGCCATCCTTTGGTACAACCTTCATGATTTACACCATAGCGATGTAAAGCTCGTAGCAACATCTTCTCTCTCACTTTAAATTCTGGCAGCATCACAAGCGCACCCTTTGCATCTTCTGATATAAACAAAAATAACCATGTAAGTACTCCCTGATTTTTCACATATTATGTACCAGGGAAAAATACACCTAAGAAGATGAAATAATCAGGTAGGGGAAAAAAGGTGTCAGTCTAACCCTTTTATGCTGACCTTTAGGTTATTATTTCCTTTCCTTCAATGTGTTATGTTAGACAAATTGCCTATCAACACAGTCCCATGAATTCTATTCTGTTTCATGCAGTATAAACTAAACTAGCTTATATTCAGTTTAGCTGCGTTTGGGGTTTGGTATTTTGCTGCGGGGAGGGGGAGGTTGGTTTTTCTTTAGAAACTTTCTTCATCAGTCTGAAGTTGTTTTTAGACCAGATAACTGAAGTTAAAAATCAAGCTGTAAAAGAGCATTAAAGCTCTACTTCACATCAATGTATTCATATGAGGTAAAAACCATGTCTTTATTTTAAAGGTACAAATTGCATTGGCCATTGGGAAGCCTGAGCCTCAACCAAGATGAAAATACACTTAATCAGATTTGTACTACAATATATAAATGTTCTAAGTTTAAAATCTTATGGTCTACATATTTTCTCATTACAAGTGATTACCTGATGAAGCCTTTTGCATAGCCCTTTACCTTTTGCTTTCAGGAAAAGGCAAGCAGCTGTTCTCAGAGTCTACATCAATATTTTTCCATGCATCATACAGCAACATACAGCACAGAACGATCCATCTGAACTTTTTTGTGAAATTAAATATGTATCTGTGTCTATTTAAGCCATATGTCACAGAATCACAGACTAGTATGGGTTGGAAGGACCTTCAAAGGTCATCTAGTCCAACCCTCCTGCAATGAGCAGGGACAAATTCAACTAGATCAGGTTATCCAGAACAACATCCAGCCTGGCATTGAATGCCTCCAGCGATGACTCATCTACCACCTCTCTGGGCAATCTGTTTTTGTTTTACCACCCTCATTGTCAGGAATTTTTTCTTCAAGTCCAGCTATCACAGCTGCTTTGTCAATCTCCAGTGAGAAGCTGGCTAATAGATGTCAAATATTTAAAAGGAAAAAATGTATTTGAAGTCAAGAGCAACTCCAAAATTTTTAGCTTTGGAGAGAAACTTAAATTGAATGATAAACCCAGTAAATAGAACACCATTTTATTCAGCACACTTCTGCTTTTGACATACTTTGTTGATTTCAGTTCAAGACAGAAAGAAGGTAGATCACGGGAAACTATGGAAGAGATACATAATTAAAGAGATACAAGATTAGATACCCACATCTGTTAACTTCTGAGTATAAGCTGGGTGCCTCATTTGTATATACAGATGGAAGGACAGATGGAAGGAGGCAAGAAATGCTTTGATAAAATTATCTTAGTCTTTTCCAGCATTATGCTATATGGTGTTTTTTCTATACTGTCTTGCACCAGAAGTACATTTCCACTATTGTGCATATTCAGGGCCTCATCATCACCTAGTTTTTAACTGTGCAACTCTACTGAGTAATAACCTGCAAGTTATTATATTATTATTATATATATTACTATAAATATTATTATATAATTATAAAGTAGCAGCAAAATAAAAAGTATCTCTCTGTGCAGCAACACCTTATTCCCTCACAATACTGACCCTGAAAAAATACATAGACAATTTAGAGGGACATACCAGTTCGAAGAAAGTATCTTTTTGCATTGTTTACAGGGTCATCAGTATCTTCAGGTGTAAAGAATAACTTCACAGCTTTCACCTTTGAAGAACATCAGTAATTTGTAATTTTTTAAATTTAACTATTTGTCAACTAAACAGTCATGCATCCAATTCTGTGTTAACACATTTTGCAAACTCTCACAATTATATCAGTTCTTTAGAGTCAAAGTCAAATTCTTCTTTTCAAAGAAGATGCCATGAACAGCAAACAAATATGGTTCCATTCCTTCTCAAGTTAAAGAAAGGGTTTAGTCACACAGAAGATACAAGGCAGCTTCCACAGCTCTATGAGAAATCAATCACTCTTTTCGAACACCCAGTTAGAACTCCTTCACTTTTTAATGCCATCAAGAATCCTGAACAGGAAGGTTCCTTCCTTCCCTCCCACATATTTTATATAAAACATAGACTGAACACTTCTCACAGTCTCACACAGAGGGACAACAATCTTTTGTAGATTTGTATTAGATTAGATGACACCGTGACAGGGAAAACACTATGCTAACCCCTGCTACTTGCAGCACCAGTGGAGACACGTAATTTGCTAGCACTTATACCAACCCATGACAGCTGGTTCTTGTCCTCTTCTGCACAGGACTGTACAAGCCCATAATGGCACATTTTTAATATAAATAGGAGGTCCCACATGTTTTAAATTTAAAAGTAACTGAGTTAAGACTAGAGATTTAAATCATTACACTTCAGGGACTGGCACATGCGTACCAACTGCTCATTCAAAATGAGATACATCAACAGTAACTTTTATGGGCTGTCGTCAAACCTTGATTCTTCTTAGATTTGGAGGATAAGTTTTCCTGACTTTTCTCAGAATCAAAACAAATTAAATGAAAAAGATACTCAAGTATTCATTTGCCTATGTGATGTTTGATTCTGTTTTACTCCTGTGCCAAGCACTATACCATATACATGGAAAAGTATATGACTTATCTTATGAATTATCACTTAAGAAATAAGCTCTCCTTAGCTTACATGGGAGCAATCACTCAGAAATAAGAAGTTGGGACAGTAGCCAAGGAATAATGGAAAGCAGCAATCTCTTCTATATAGCATTTAAGTTACTCTGGTATTGAGAAAGCAAATCCTTTCCTACGATTCTATGCAATATCTTGTGACATTTTAAAAATGTATATAGACCCCTAGCAGGATAAGAGGCTACAAGTCAGAATGCAATCACGACCATGTATAAACATTGTATAAAGATTGCTTAATTTAGCGTTCCAACCTTTTATGGAATGCAGCCACTTTTCTGCCAAGGGGCATGATGGCGATCACAATCACATACCAATTATAGACAGAAAAGTTACTTCTTGAACTACTGAAAGCTGCACCTACTGTTTAAAAAAGATGTTTCGTTTCAGTATGAATATCTTCACACTTACTTCGTTGTCAAAACTGACCTGGCAATTACTTCCAGCACACATACGGGCTTATCTCACAAATGAAATTCATCACTGGAAGGTCAATTACAGCACTATATACTGCAACACTAATGTGAAATTAACTTGACAGTAACTACTTAGATTACAGAATGAAAATACCATTTTTTCATTCAGTAAAGCCAATCCTATTTGATCTGTCTGAACATTTTGTCCTTGTCCAAATCGCTGAGGTCCGTAGTAATTTACAAAACCTTTTGTCTAAAAGATAAAGAATAAATATGTTAAAAGCATGGAAATGCCAGGTACAATTAGTAAGAGTAAACATACAACACACATCTACATTTACATCCAAAATGCATACAAACTTTTTAAATCAAAAGCAATTTGTACCAAAATCATGACTTATGATTCATTACAATATTTTAGCAACTAATTTAGAAGCATCTAAAAAGACAACCAAGTTCTATCATTGTCTTTACTTTCACAAAAAATAGGTAAATGAAACAAAATTATTTCTATGTAGTTAATCATTATAAACACAGTCAATGTAATTGAGCTTTTTATGTGCACAGATTCTGAAATCTCTACTCAAGCCAATGAAGCTTAGCACAGATAACGAACAGTAACCACTGTTGGACATTTTTTCTTAAAAAATACTCATCTTTTTTCATGAGATCCTTTCTATTATTATTACAATAGTAAAGATCAAGAGTGAGCACTTCTGCTAACTGGGATTTTAAGTCTCCCGATGAGTTACAGGTCATATGTAGGCAGCAAAATCACAGCTATGTGACCCAATGAGAACATCCTTTTCTAGAAAATAGTAAGTATGCATGGAGTAGACGAGCAAGAAAATAAATGGTTATTTGTTTTGGAAATGGTTATTCAGTTCAAACCCTATAACCTTGCTTCAGACATCCATAGGTCCCATACAGGATTTTGTTTCCACAGAAGATGAAAAATCCATATTTTTGGTTTAACACGTATGCTGGTTTTGTCATTCATCTGACCAGTAAGTTAAATCTAATAATGCAAGACACACAACCATAAGAATTTGTGTTCATTTTTCAAACAACAAAACAAAAAAAAAACAAAACAAAAAGTCAGGTAGAGCAGAGAGAGAGAAGCACTAAAGTAGCAGTTGAATGCTTTATTCAGTAAGAAAATTAACTTCTAGAATACATGTAATGTACTTTGCTTTTGCATAATGGGTAATTTGCACTAAAGTCTTCAAGGCTGGATTAATGTTCTTAAAGTAATTTATATTATGGTTATTACTTAGAAAGATAAGGTGAGAAAATTACTGCTGCACAAAACACCTAAAGTTTTTCCTTTCTATGAGTAGTAACTCATAGAAAGAGTTTAAGAATGTCTGATGATGGGGTTTTCTTCTAAGGGAAAGGATAACAGCAATCAAAATCCATTGAATTTCAGGGGATCTTCTTTTTCCGCTACAGATATTTCACATGTATTTATGCCATTAAAGTTTTTCACCTGGGCCAACCATGCATGTTCCTCACATGACCAAAAGAGGCAATCAGTTGACATGTGTAACTATATTCTTTCACCCCGTCAACAGCCACAGTGAAACCCATCACTTTGGTCAGCCTTAGGTCTGTGCAACAATAGCTGATATATCCATAATTTGCTTCTAAATTTCACATCTGTCTTGTTGCATCACTCCAGGGCCTCCAGTCTGTAACACAGAATTAATTCACTTATGATCCCTCCTTGGAAGGCAGGTTTAGTTCTGATTCCTTAAGTAATGCAGGAAAGACATAAAACTGTAAAAAGCATCAACACTGGGAGACAGTTTTTGTGCTACTTGTGCTGTTTTGTGCTATTTCAAGCATTTTCTTTAAAAGTTTTGTTTTGGTTTTTACAGCACAGAATTAAAACTCTGTTCATTATTGGGAACCACAAGGCTTTTTTACCTCAACATTTTCCATTGCTTCAGATATTCTCATTTTCAAATCTGCCGAAGAGTCATGACAGTGGTGTTTAAGATCTCTCACAACTACATCAAAGTGATTGCCCTTCAGCTGACCAAGTCTCAGGTGCTGGCATGCTGAATGTACATTGTGTATTCTGATACCCTTTTTTTCCATTTTGCTTCCAATTTCTTTCAACCTGCATAAATAATTGGGAGAAATCATGAACCACCCCTACTAAAGCTATCCAACTTCTAATAAATGTCTTCTTCACCTTTGTACTAGAATTAAAAACACTTAGGAAAAAGGGGGATTTAAAGCAGATTATTATGAGAAAAACAAAATCAGAGATAGAAGTCTTAAATTTTATAGTCCAGAAATACTTTCTCAATGCTTGCTTCATTTGCATTTACAGCCTGTAGCTTGACAGATATTAGAATCAAGCAATTCACTGAATTTTCTCAAGGCAACTGCATGGAATTTTGCACTTTTTATTGAAAAAACAAATAATTTACTCTTCAGTTTAAAAATCTGCTCTTAATAAAAAAAAAAACAAAAACAAAAAAGAGAAAGAAAAAAAGTAATGTGCTTTTGCAGACTCCAAAATACAATTGCTCTTTCTTGGTCAGCCTTAACAAAAAACTCAGTGCACCAATTCTCTGAGTGTGCTTGCAATTGGAACATAGCTGACAGTCAAGTATTTGCCCTTTAAAGTATCCACTCAATCTCTTTGTTCTTATGTATAAGTAACAGTCATTCAAATCAAAGGAAACTTTCAGCATAAGAACTTATATTCTAACCAATATTTTAATAACGTTAAAAACTATTTATTTATAAATGTTATTTCTTTTCCCCATTATGCTTGTGGCTTGGAAGCATTTAACTATTTTGCTTGATCATTCAAACATTAATGTAAAGTTTTGTTAATTATCTCTTGAACAACTGGCCTTATTGCTTAGGAAATGCAGTTGAAATTTACTATTGATATATATTTCTGTCAGTAATAAATCCTAGAAACATACATTCTACTTTCCTTTATTTGTAAAGTCTACTTCGTTACTAAGACCAAAACCCACCAGAAAGTTAATGCTTGGGAAGAAATAAGTTATGGTTTTTCCTCAAACAATTCTTTACAGTTACTATGGCAGAACTTAATACACAGATATATTTATTCACTGAACCGGCTACAGAGAATAACAAAATGAGAAATGGAAAGTCACATCCTGTATTATTGACACATTATTCAAAATGTATTTCCTGCCCTCAGGTTTGGTGATAGCTTCTTCATTTAATCTCATGTTTCTAAACTGGACGATATCATAGAAGTTCATACTTAACACTCAGAGACAGTATCTGTCCAAAGTATAATGATTTTCTTTGGTTTTGTACCTGTATAAAGCTTTTAAGTTGTTGAATGTGGACGGCAAGACAATACTTTGCCAGTACATGGAAACTTGTCACGTCATGTACTACTGGCTTTTTCTCACTTCCAGCTAGTGGATGGTATTCAAGAAACTGAAAAGTGGATCCCATAAGCATGAACTGCAAGGATACTGTACCAGATGATATGAAATATTTGTATTATGAAAAATACAAAGAAGGGCAAGACTTTTTTTCAAATGCCAACACTGGAGACTTCAGCACTAAGATGTATATTCACTAAAGCCACAAAATATTAAAGCCATTTCCACTGTGCTGTAACACATGAGAAGACACATCCATAAGAACATTTCAGAATATTGTACCATGTTAATACTTATTAACATATAAAAATAAGTGCTAAACTGAATGCACTCAGACTGTAAGTACCTCTCAGGGGTCACCTTCTTCACAACCATAGGTTGGTAAGTAATCGCCTTCTTATCTTTGATGCCAGTATAACTGAAGTCTGAAGGAAGAACACCAAGTTCAGCAGCCAAGAAGCTGATTGCTTCCAGTGTTTCAAGGTTTTCTTTCTGAAGGGTGAACGCTGAAACAACCATATCAGAACTATTAGGAATATGCACTTGTAAATCATACAGGTGTCCTGCCATGACAGATGGGCAGGTTCTTCTCTTCAAACTATAATAGCATGGAAACTGCAAAGAAAGACTCTTCCCACTCCACAACACTAAAGGAAATGGAATTTTTTCATTATTGAAAGAAAAATACAGAATACACAAAACTCTTAACAACAACCAGAAACCTCTGCTGCCTTTAAAGCTTAAACAGGGGAAGTTTAGATTGGATATAAGGAGGAAATTCTTTCCTGTTAGAGTGGTGAGGCACTGGAATAGGTTGCCCAGGGAGGCTGTGAATGCTCCATCCCTGGCAGTGTCCAAGGCCAGGCTGGACGAAGCCTTGGGTGAGATGGTTTAGTGTGAGGTGTCCCTGCCCATGGCAGGGGGGTTGGAACTAGACAATCTTAAGGTCCTTTCCAACCCTAACTATTTTATGATTCTATGAAAAATACTACCTGATAAACACCATTCAACAAACATGCATTAAGCTAGAAACATTGTCTATCAGAAATCAATTGCTTTAAGGAATAAGACCATAAATCAATTTTGACCTTACTAACTAGTCTAACTTCTAGGCGCATCTTCTAAAATCCCACAATTACTTTCAAGGGAAATCTAGCACATGGGGAATAACACAGAGTTAGTACTACAGTACTAACGAAAAAAATGTAACCATTATCACTGAACAGTTTGTGTTAACATCACCGCAGTAACTCGATTTATTCATCTCATTCCCCAGTGATGTAACTACATTGCATTAATAATGATTTATTTCAGCATAAACAATGGCTCAACCAGGCCTAGACGTCACATAAAAGTGATTGAGTTTCAGTCTGTACTAAAGAACACCACAATACCTGACACTTTCACTAAAAATGTAACATTTACCTGTATAAAGATCTTGTTTTTCCTTGAAGCCACCAGCAGACCTTTTTCTGGACCAACTTTTTTCTCGAAAACGCACCATAATTGACATATTTGGCTGATCATTGACATCTGACACAGTAAAAGACTTTGTTTCTAAAAGCTTTCCAAACTTTCTATTGATAAAGTGGTGAACTACTTTTCTGTGCTCTTTGTCCGCATCAGGCTCAAAAGAAAATGTAGAATTTTCTAGCTTTGCATCTAAAAACTTAAAGAAATCACTCGTTTCCTTTTCAGTCACGAGCTGACAAAGTTCTCTGTACTCTCCATTCCCTTTCACAATCATTTCATTGCCTTTCGTAACAGTGACCAGAAAGGGGAATTTCTGCCTGACAGCACTGTGTAGGCTAGCTCGACTTTTCTTGTCCAGTACAGGTCCCAGCGAAAACTCTCCAGCGCCACCGCCGGCATCCCTGTCCCGGTCCCATGTGTCCTTCAGACCACAGACAAACTGATGAAGCCGCTCACACATGGGTTTCCCTAGTAAGGAATCCAGTATATGGCCTTCCCCAAGGTCCGTTTTCAATTCAGGTTCACCCTCGCGCTGCTTTTTGTTAGGGGATGCTGAACAGTCGCCTCCTACCCTGCTTGTGTCCTGCTCCGAAGGACTGGGCACGGCACCGGGACAGCCCTCGGCACACAGGCCGGGGGACTCCGCGCTCAGCTCATTGGGCTGCTGCGGGTCTGGGGTACTTTGCTCTAGCGGCGCTTCGGCGGCTTTCTGAAGCGATTCAGCCCCAGTATCCCTCAGTAAGTGTTGGGGCACCTCGATTTCTGTCACTATGAAATCGCTGGGCGAGTTTTTGATCGTACCACAGAAGCCGATGTGGTCAGTCACGTAACCGAAGGACGGAAGCATGGCTGCCCTGCCTTCCCCTGCTCACAGACACACACCGCCACGCCTGCAACCGGAGACAGACAGGAAAGGCGGGGGCGATAAAAGAATTTCAGCTTACTACCGTTTTCGGTGCCTGAAAGGCCGGCGGGCAGACGGAGGTGAGGAGGGCAGGAAGCGCAGCCCGACGGCCACCGACGGCCACCGACGGCCACCGACGGCCACCGACGGCCACCGACGGCCACCGACGGCCACCGACGGCCACCGACGGCCACCGACGGCCGGTTCAACGACACCACCACCCGCAACCTTCTCCCGCGCCGCCAGAAGGCGCCACGACCTCCCGCCCCCTCGGTAAGGGCCCGAGGACGGTACCAACTTCTCCAGGAACGCGGGGAAAAAGAGAAAGGGACTTCCCCCCCTCCCCCGACCAGCCATGGGGCGTCCCGGAGGGGGCGGGGCATCCCCAGGCAGCCTATGGGAGAGCGGCGTGGGAAGCGAGCACTTCCGCTTTCTGCTCAGCGAGCCCCTGTCCCCGTCCCGGTGACGCGACCGCCGTCAGAGGCCGGGTCACTCCCTCTTAAAGGGGAAGCGAGGGGCGGGAGCGCCTGCCGGGACGAGGAGGCGCCGCCGCCAGGAAACGACGGGGATCGGCGGGCTGAGGTGAGGTGAGGTGAAGCGAGGTGAGGTATCTCGACTCCCGCCGGCGGTTGTGGGCGGGGCCGCTCGCCTACCGGGGGCGGGCCTTAGGGGGCGGCCGGAACCGGCTGGCCGTGAGGAGAAGACAGGGGCGAGGGCAGTGGGTCGCCGCCGTGCTGGGTCTGAGGCCTGCTCGGCTTCCCGCGGCCCCGGCGAACCTGTTCTGTAACGGTGTCGCTCGTGTTCCGTAGGAGCTGAAGATGAGCACGGCGGTGACGATGTCAACGTACGTCCGGTGCCTCAGCTACGGGCTCCTGAGGCAGCTGGCAGACTTCATCGACCCGCAGGAAGGGTGGAAGAAGTTAGCAGTAGATATAACCAACCCGACCGGTGAAAGCAGATACAACCAAATGCACATAAGGTCCTATATGGGTGTCATGTAACGTAATCTTATTAACTGTTAAGCGCTGTTGTCCATCCTGTTACTGTAACTTGCAGTTTGTGTGCCAGTAGGTACTTACACATTACAGTGCCACTGCCTTAGGGAACTCAAGGTAATTACTTGTAATTGTGCTGTTAGTTCAGTTTTCAGACAAGCTATAGCCAAAGAAAACTGAGTAAGGAAATCAGAATTAGTCACAGGCATAAGTATTTTTAGCAGTACAACATTAGCTGTATAGCTTTCCGTGCAGACTGAAAAACATTGACTTCACTGTGCATCTTCACACAAGAGCAGCACAGGACACAACTGGACTGTAACTCCTCATTCCCCAAGAGAATGTCCAGCAAATGTGGGTAACCCAAGGCCTAAAAGTCACAAGTTTTATTGAGAAGTAATACCAGCAATAGTTTATGAACAGCTTGTAGGGCTTGGTGAATCCTTAAGATGTCTCAAAGGTTATGAGGTTTTTGGATACCCTATGTATCATCTTGAGTTTCCAGTCTGGTGGTTTAACCCCAGCTGGCAGGGCAGTCTTTCTAGTGAAGTTAGCAATAAGTCTTCATTTGCCTTTCTGTAATGACACTAAGTCAGTCAGAATACTGGACTTCAATTTCTGCGTAATGTACATCCCAAACCATTCAGAATGAAGTGTGAATGTCAGATGGGTGGGAAAAACAATTTCATTCCATTTGATTGGGCTCTGACTTGCCCTGTGTCTGTTGCTGACATTCTCTTCTCTGTTAGTTCCATGTGCCAAAATATTATGGGTCCTGGGCAATATGTTGAAGCCATGTATGCATATTTTTTCCCTTTGTTTTTCCCAAATTTTGCATTATTTTTCCACTGAGTTTCATTTTTTTAATTACTTTTAGATGCATTTTCAGAAGATCTGCAAATAGTTGTACAGTTCAGTATATTCAGAATTTTGGGGGCTTTGCTTGTGGGTTTTTTTGCTGTTGTCATTTACCTTTAATCTCTTTCCCTTCTTCATAGTTCTTGAGATCTTTTCTTTCTTTTTTTTTAAATGTTGGTCTTAATTTATCTTTTCAGGAGATTTGAGGCATTTGTCCAAATGGGAAAGAGCCCCACGTGTGAATTGCTTTATGACTGGGGAACCACAAACTGTACAGTTGCTGATCTTGTGGACCTGCTGATTAGGAATCAATTCCTAGCACCAGCAAGCCTTTTGCTTCCAGGTAACTGTTACTCTTGTACAGTTTGCACTGTGTTCTCTGCTTTCTGAAGTGTTAAAAAGTTTCCCAGTAGCATGAAAATGAGAAAGGATTAGGTCAAAATAACCAGAAGTGGATCTATTTTCCATTATTTGTAATAACAGTTTAAATAAGAGTTACAAGTTTAAGTGAGAATCCTGCAGTTTAGACATGGTGGCAGAATATAACCTTCTCATGATGTTTATGTGTCACCTAACCTTAGTAAATGCTGGCATTAATGTTACTTGTTTTATCTGATTCCTAATGTAGTTAACATGTTTTCTAAATTCCATTTTCAGAAGCTGTAAGGATGGCACAAGAAGTTACATTACCTCTTTCTTCACAGGAAACATTGCCTATACATGAAAAACAACTGCCTGTACAGGAAAAAGAAGTGGCTTCTATACAACCTGTTTTAGCTCAGAGTACTGAGAAGCAACATTCAGCTCCTTTTTTCAGTCAAGAAAACAGCAGCCCACAGTCCAGTAACACAGGTAGGTACTTAGTTTGGTAGAATTAAGTACAATGTTTTTTTCTGATCTGTCCTTAACCCCACATAAAATAAATCCTAGCAGTGTATTAATGGCTATATTCCTATTGTCCTGCATGTTATAGGAAACAGCATCTTCCTTTTGCTTCTGTTCTGTGTGGCTGTGAATTTAGCTTGAGTAATAAGATGTCCAGGTATGAGAGGCACCTTGCTGACAAGGCAGCTACTGTGATGCAAACTTGACTGTTAACTAAATCACAGTTTATTTTGTGCTACATATAATCCTCTTGCCCTTTTTAAATACTGATTTTATGGACTGTTTAGCATCTGGCATGTTAAAGCTGGATTTTATATGTCAGAATTGACTACGAATGTTGAAGAAAAGATGACTAAAGAAAGCATCCTAGGAAAGTGTATGGTTGGTGTACTCCTTCCTAAAGGTCCACTTTGGTGTTGCTGCCCGAAGCATGATGTGGTCTAGATACTATTTTTACATCTGACACAGTGTGGCTCTCCTTTTTTTTTTTTTTTTTTAATTCTGATCTTCTGCACTATCATCTATATTATGAATATTATCAAAAACTATTAGCAGAAGGCTGCTTCAGTGCTAATTGCGAAGAAAATTATGCATATCTCTTTGCACATATCACATATATATTTATAAGTTAATTTGGTTTTCTGGTATCTTCATCACAAGGGATTTATGTGGCAGCAAGTTTGTGGTTTAGTAGAACTGAAGCAGAAAATCTATTCAATGTATTTGTTTCTTAAGTGAAAAACATAGCTCTGTGCTAAATGGTAAATGTGTCTTTCAGGCTTCCTTAATTTTTCATTTCATGATTTGGAAAGTGTTACAAATAATTTTGATGCACGACCAGAATCAGCTGGAGGCAATAAACTGGGAGAAGGTGGCTTTGGTGTTGTGTTCAAAGGCTACATCAACGGCAGAAATGTGGCTGTCAAGAAGCTCATTGCTGTGAGTTGTCCTGGGCATTTTTCCTTTTAATGACTATGTACTTTATAGCGTAGACTTGTTTATCTGTGGGAAGTGTTGAACGATATACTTCAAAAAGCATCACCAAGTTAAACATCAGTTGAGCTGAGAACATTATCTGGTTAGTCCCATGAGCGGTGTGAATCGGCACAGTCACCAGAGATGAAGTCTTGCCTTTTCTGTAGCTCTCCTTTCAGTGGTTCAGACAAGCTGTCTGGAAGAGCAGAGCACCCCATCTCTTCCCCTCCCTCCCTCCTGTGCACCCAGGAAGTGGCAGAAGGACAGGAGTGCTAGGGAGGTTTCCCCTTCAGAATCAGATTAGCAACTCACAAGCTAAATAGTTTTTGCCACAGAATTTGAATCTTTATAACTAGTGGTTTGTGTTAATAATTAATTGTGCAGTAAGTGCTGCTAGTGGGTGACTGCAGTGAAATGGGTAAGTTTGTGACTGTGCTGAAATTGAATCCATTTGTCCATGAATAACGCGTTCCAAGGAATTAAAAATCATGTTCTGATACCTTGAGTTGAGTAAAAAAATATTGTGAACAGTTAAGTAGTTATTACATGTAACTAATCTAAAGAAGGGCTTATAATTCTGTTTTTTTTTTTTTAATGGACAACTGCATATGGCCAGCAGTATTAACATCAAATACTTCCTTTTGTAGATGGTTGATGTTAGTGCTCAGGACTTGAAACAGCAATTTGATCAAGAAATAAAATTGATGGCAAAGTGAGTACAGTCTTACACAATGTTGTAAGCCTTTTGTTGGAATCTGAATTGGCAGATAACACATTGGCTAATGTGATCCCTTATTTTTGTCTTTCTAGCATAACTTAATGATTTTCATGTTAAGTGAGAATGTTTCATATACAGCATGGCTGTATTTCTTTTTTTTCTTTTTAAATGATACCACTGCAGAAACCTAGCTATGTGCAGTAGTGATGGAACAAGTAATTGGGGACTGAGTTCCCTCTGCTTTCTATTTTCCTCAAATATTGGAAGTCTTTCAGAGCATATACGAATAGAATTTTTTTGCTGTAGGTGTCAGCATGAAAATCTGGTGGAATTACTTGGTTTCTCAAGTGATGGTGCTCAGCCATGTCTGGTGTATGAATACATGCCCAACGGTTCCTTGCTTGACCGACTTGCTTGTCTGGTAAGTAAAATGTTTTTGAGCTTCCAGTTGTTGTCCTTTGCTGAAGAATAGATACCTATGAAATGGCTTTGAAACTGCAATGAACCGTAATGGCCAAATGATGTCTCACTAC